TTTCACCTAGGGGAGGTAAAGAGAATTGCTCTATTTCGAAATATGGTGTAACATCATCATGCATCATCATACTGTCAATAGAGGCTGTTGCCGCCGGTTCTCTTTGAATATGTTGATATTCGTCTTTCTAAAAAAAATCTTGTTGAATTTATATACGAGCAATAGCTTAAAGGTTATTCCAAATGTTTATAAATCAAAAATAATAGTAATTTTGCAGAAGGTTAATGCGTTTTAAAAATTTTTTGTCATTTTTTTGATACATTTGATTGTTTAATCTTTCTCTTAATCTTTCATTTGATATGCGTAGAGTTTTGTAGTAATATTAGTCATTTGTTGACTAATATTATTGCATACAAAAGGTCTCTGCGATAAACAAATAAAATAAATTTAAAAAAATTGATGGATCGATCTCAGTCCACCAGCTAGAGATGATACGAAATACTAGGAACAAGTATTTGGTAATTGGTGATGTCAAACGAAAGAGGCGGCACGGCGCGGTAAAATTTTGAACTGGTGCACGTAGGATAACAAAACATTTTGTATTTAGTTCTACACACATAACATAGTTATAAACAGTTTAAATATTATTAAATAAAGCACAATAAGGTAACAAAATGTTAAAAAGTAAATGTAAACCGTATTGCTTTGCACCGCAATGCAGTAATTATCGATCGGAAGGAATAACTATGCACTTTTTTCCTCGTGACAAAAATCTATAAGATCGTTGTGCACAGGAATTAAAAATTGGGAAATCGATATCAAGTGATATGATGGTGTGTTCACAGCATTTTTTATCAACAGCTTTTTTTTCAATTAAATTTTCTGAACAGAATTGCAACATTTATTATATATAATGTGCCTACCTAACCTAACCAAATATATACACTAAAATAGATCTTAATTCAAATTTTTCTGCAGCAGGGCAAAAGAAATTTCAAAGAAAGGTGTTGTTCCCTCTCAATGCCTTCTTAAAGGAAAACACGAAAGAAAAATCAATGAGGAACTAGTGAATGCTAGACTAATGCGTAATAAAATACGCACATTCCTCACTGGCGGGCTTTACAAGTTCATTTTGCCACCCATACTCGTCTCTTAACACATCCACAGTGATTTCATGTGGGGCACAATTTAAATTAGTCGTTTGCACACACAAACCTACTAATTTGTTATTATATTTGCCACACAACACAACGTGGCCAGCCTTTAACAAGGCCTCGCTTTCTTTTAAAGGTCTTTTTGTGTCTCTTATATATTTCAAAATATGGAGCAGACTAACTTTAATTTCTATATTTGCCATTGCGTTAATAAAAAAAATAAATGGAAGGTAATAAATACGGATAATTTTTAGACACAGCAATCATTCACCTACAAAGATTATGGTAGCTCCGTTTTGTTTTCCTACGTGCGTGATCAGCTGATCATCTGTCAAAGCGCCCCCTATAGTTCGTTGACATCGCCAATAGGTATGAGCATATAACGTAACGTAACAGTTACCGGTTTTCTAAAATACTAGTTCCAGTTCCATCTAGATCTTTTCAACGACACGACGGACACACGGAATGAATCAAGCCTGGTAACTGTATGTAACTGGTACTGTTACTGTGGCGATACTGTTACTGTATTCGATACCTTGCGCTGCGCTTTGATATCGATATTTTGGTATTGGTATTTTGGATACCGATACGCACCGGGACCAGTTATATTTTTTGGGTAGGTACATGATACTAAGACAAACAGGTATTTGTGTTTGTCTTAGTATCATGGGTAGGTAAAAGTTCTAGTCAGGATTATTACGGTGGTATATGCAAGATGTGAAATTATACGTATTAAATCTGTCATAATATTGGTCCCTTGTTGTTACTATATTATTTTAGAAGTTTTTAAATTTGATTTTGTTTGAGCGTAAAACATTTTCCATGAAACTAAAATAAAAGAATATATAAATTATTATTTACTATTTACTAAAATAAACTAGATAAGTGTACCTAACACAAAAATTAAAACAAAAAAAAACAATGAGATCGTTTTGAAAAAATAATACACGACTAGTTAACAAAATACACAATATAACTTTATGTAAAACATTCAGAAAACATTAGAAAAAAGACATGGCGCGGCGTATAAATGTAAAAATACTAGGTTAAAAAGTAACACGTATTTGGAACAGGTACGAATATGGAACCGGAACGTAACGTAACAGTTACCGAAAAATACTCATTTGTATCATCTGGAAGGAAATATGCTGCTCTTTAAGTATGAACATTTACAACCATTGTCATCGACCTAGGGTTGCATTATATTTTAAATTTAATTATGTAAACCATATATTGATGTCTCCACTGCAATTTTAGTGTTAGCTACCAAAAGAAAGCACTGAGGATGATCTGAGCTAGATCGAAAACGTTAAGTATCTATAAATTTTGGACGACACTTTTAACAACTCTGTCTGAGGTAGGGTGAGGAACGGGCTCGAAAATTTGGAACGGGCCAGTTCCAAGCCCGGATAAAAGAGGAGGGTTGAGCGGAGGGTTAAACACCCACCCTCGGAAAAAGAAACTAATTATGAAAACTGCAACTTTGCCTCGGAACCGGACAGATAAACACAAAAAACGACAAATGTAATGTAAAATTACTATGAATATCGGTACTTGGAATGTCCAGAGTTGGTACAGACCTGGAGCTGCTATAAATGCTGTGGAACAACTGAACAGCATAGGAATGGATATAACAGCGGTCCAAGAAATAAGATGGCCAGACGATGGAAATATAAATATAAGTAAATTCACCTTCTTCTTCAGCGGTATCAAAAACGGAAGACATGAATTTGGAACTGACTTTGTGATTAGAGACAGCCTAGTACAGAATATACTAAATTTCAAACCTATAAACGAAATGATATGCTACATACGAATGAAGGGAGAACGATACAACATTTCATGCACCAACGGAAGAGAAGGATGAAGATATCAAGGATGACTTGTACGATGCCCTAGAAAGGGAGATAGATACGATGCCCAAACAAGATATGCGTACACAAATACAATAACAAAACAATAAACCCACAATGGAACATGGACGAAATGCACAATACAGAAAAACAACAAAATTATAGAGAACAACTTGAACAAACCTTGAACTCTAAAAGAGAATACAATGATATTGAACAGCTATGGGACACGACTGCCGAAATAATAACCAAGACAGCGAACAAGATCTTTGGAAGGAGTAGGCAGAAGAGGGAAAAACATGGTATAACCAGGAATGTCGGAAACAGCTGGAAAAACGACAAACAGTAAGAAAGACTTGAATACAACTGCAAACAGACCAATATAAACAGAAATATGATGACTGCCGAAAAGAAATAAGAAAAATAATACACACAAAGAAAAGAAACTATGAACAACAAAAATATGAAGCTATGGAGAGAGACCGGCTCAAACCAGGTTTCAGAGAGTTCTATAAAGCAATTTCCTCTGAGAAAAGAGGACATAGAACCAATTCCATAGATATACTGTGAGACATTCAAAGCCATTCAACGTTTGCCTGGAAGATCTATAACAAATGATTGACAGAGTTTCAACTGCGCCATAATATCCACAATTTTAATTAAAAATACGTTTATTTTGACATTTCTACATCGACATCGATACAGATGCAATTAATAAAACATAGCCAATAATTCAAAAGCAATAAATGATCGCGCTAACTTACCAAATACTCTTTAGGAACATGGAATATGACGCCGTCCGGGCCCTTTGGTAGATCTATAGGTTCTCTAGGTCGGTCAAATAGCAAAAGTAAATTCTCCTTTGCACCCATGTTTGGAACGTGGATCTAAAATTAAACAAAAAAACTATACAATAGCAAAACAGCATATTTTGGAATGGAAATATATGGCATTCAATTGATTTTATCATATCGTTCATCTCCAATCAAACAGGCTTTATTAAAGTACATAATATGTTTTTCGATGCCCTGTCTCACTAGATGAAGGTAAAGTACTGTAAAAGTTTTCAAATCTTTAAAGGACAGCTTTAAAAGAGGCAGCTTGGAACAACAATATGTGGTCAATAATATGTGGTCGACAATATGCTGTCCAATGTCACCAATCCAAGCTCCTATCAAGTATTTTTTGACAATTTCTTCACATCCATAAAAATGTCAGATTTTAACTGTGCCACTAAATTCTACCAAATACATTGATAAATGTGCTCGATATTGCCATCATTCAGTTTTTGATTTTGAAAACAAAATACTCTTGCTAGGATAGAACGATAATAAATGTGTCACAATGGCCACCAATTTCGATACAATTGAACCACTGGGTTAAGTATCACGGTGGAATAAAAACGAAAAATCAAAAACACATTTGTCGCAGCCAGCAACAATCAACATATATAAGTTTATGGGTGGTGTAGATCAGCACGGCTGGCTTCTTAAAAAGCACTATAGACACATACGAGGGAAAAAGTGCTACTAATGTCTCATAATGCGAATATAAACGTGGTAGTTGTCAACGCTTGCCAACTTTATAAAAAAGTAGAAGAAAAGCCACTTTCTATAAAAGAATTTCATGGAACCATTGCAGTTCTCTACCTAAAGTTAGGGCATGGATCTAGGATTGCCAAAGGAAGACCTTCTTTAAGGTCTTCCACATCAAAAACTCCGGTTGTAATTGATGTCAGATTTGATGCCAAAAACCATGTCCTCTCTAAAAGGGATCATTAGAGACGATGTCAATTTGGCAATTTCAAAGGTAGCCCTTAACTTACTGCTCTAAAAGTATTACTCTGTGCACTTCTTGTTTTCTTGCATATCATAGCATTGTACAGGGTTACACATTTGAACTGTTACCAACTTCACATCGATATATCTGGCAAACGATAATGACAGCTACGTCAAAGTTAGCCTGATAACACTTATCAGTGATTGCGTTATAATTGGCTGGAAAATCAGAACCAGCTATTGTTCGTCAGCTCAAACACCTCAAAGTGAATAAAATGTTTGTGTATCTCACCATAACTCGTTGTAATGATACTGGTAGCGTTGCCAAACGCTATGGTGGTGGACGAAAAAAAAACAGCAACATCATCTGAAATGGTTCGGAAAGTAAAGGCTCGACTTGAGCGAAATCCACGTCGTAGTGGTAATCAAATGGCCAAAGAACAGAAAATATTCCAGCGAAGCATGCAACGAATATTGAAAAAGAAGCTCAAGGTCAAGCCTTACAAGTTCCAAAAAGCACACAATCTTACACCAAAGCAAAAAAAAGTTCGACTTGAAAGAGCAAAGGAGTTGTTACACCTGCACGAACGTGGCGAATTTCCGAACATAGTGTCCTCTGATGAGAAAAATCTTCCTATTGAGACGTTCATAAACTCTCAAAATAATGGTGTTTACTTGACCGAACCCACCTACGAAAGTTTGAGCTTATGAACGGCCACCCGAAATAATTTCCCATCTCTAGTAATAGTATGGGCAGCTGTATTCGCCGATGGACGCTCTCCAATCGTTTTTATTGAATCTGGTGTCGCAGTAAATGCAACTTATTATCGGGAAAATGTTTTAGAAGCTGCTGTAGAGCCGTGAGCACGCAAACATTTCGGTTGTAGACCATGGACATTCCAACAAGACTCGGCACCGTCTCATAAAGCTAGTGTGAACCAAGAATGGTTAAAAAACCATGTTCCACACTTTATTTCATCCACACAATGGCTTTTGAATTCACCAAACGCAAATCCGATGGACTATTCCATCTGGTCCATTTTTTAGAGGAAGGTGAGCACTAAAAAATATGCCAGTATGGGTACGCTGAAAAAAGTAATTATACGTCAATGGGCCAAAATACCGGAAGATCACATTCGTGCAGCATGCAACTCGTTTTTTGATCGTTTGAAGGCCATAGTCAAGGCAAAAGGTGGCCACATCGAGCTAAATTGAGTGGATTCCGAAATTTTGATTATTTTCACACATTTTGTCATTTGAATCAATAAAAAATAATTTCACACAAAAAAAATTATGGTCGTTTGAATAGGTAACAGTTTATTGCGTAACCCTGTATTGTAATAATATTATTCAGGTATCATTAAAATAAAAGACATACATCTAATACGAGAATTTGGCATTTCTGACTTCCATGCACCCAACGATCTATCTTTTATTCCGAAAACCAATAAAATAATCAAAAAAATTTAATAAACAATATTCATTCTAATGTAACAACTAACACAGATTACGATTTTTTCTTATTTTGGAAAAAAAGTTAATTTGAGCGTTAATGGGTTAATTTCTATAGAAACATGGAAAAGATTGTAATAGACGCTTACTATCATCATTTAGGATACTGTCAAATTACCACCGGAGGACATTTTGAACTCTTGATTAGGGAGACAATAATTGAGATATGTAGTAAACTTTTAATTTTTATGTTCAAATTTAGTTGTACTTAATTTGAATAAAAAATTTATTGAGACAATTAGACCTTGTTTTATCTTTTTAAGATGTTCCTGACTACATAAAATCAAAAGTATTCAGTTAAACTGTTATTAAATTGGAGATTTCAATAAAGGTAGGGTAGGGTGGGGCAGATTTGGACGTGGGGCACATTTGGACAATTCAATTTTACCGCTTAAAAAGCGTTGTTTAGTTAGTTGCGTCCAAGTGGCGTACAGATTTAAGTATGTTTCTTTACGATCCGTTAGTTCATTTCATAACAACTGATGTAGAAATATGTGGGACCCATTTAGACAAGTCAGGTGGGGCAGATTTGAACTAGTCCAACTGTTTGAATTTAATAGATTCAAACCAAAAGTGATTGTTTGAATGGAGCATTAATGGAAATGACTACGATAGTTTCACAAAACTGCTCAGCTATGCGATGCTAACTTACATTTGTTGTTTTTTACAGAATGGTACGTAGTTATAAATGCAAAACAGATAGAACCAACATTTCAGCAGAAGACTTAGCTAACGCCGTAAGTGAAGTAATCGTCCATGGGCGAAAAATTCGGAATGCAGCAGCAATGTTCAAAATAAACAAATCTACGCTTCGCTTCTATGTCAAGAAAAAGAGTTCGGCTAATGGGTTAGATTCAGGAAATGAAAGTGATCAGAACTCCGATCAGAACTACTTTAGTTGCTTGTACCTAAACGTATATGTTTACATGTATGTTTTTACATACAATATGCAAAGAAACTAAATAACAAATATCCAGGTACTTGGAATCAAAATCAGATGTCAGGAGTCAAATGAATGCGTTTATTCATGAAACACCACCCAACACTATCGTATAGAAAACCGGAAAATGTTAGCATTGCTCGCACGTCCGGTTTTAATAAAGCCAACAACTTTGAAATTTTTTTTTTAATTATTTCAAGGTTATGGTCTAATTTAAATTTTTTCCTGGCTGAATGGTTAATACTGACGAAACTAATATTCGTACAGTCATGCAAGCACCAAGAGTTATATCAGAGACCGGCAAGAAGCAAGTGGGCCAATGTGTTTCGTCAAAAAGAGGAACACTCGTCACTATCTTAGTAAGTATCTCGTCACGTATATCGTATATCCGCGAGTAAGAATGAAAGATCATTATTTATATGGACGTGTATCTGGTGCAGTTGGATATGCAACAAAATCAGGCTGGATATCAACACCCGTATTTATTAAATGATTTGAATATTTTTAGAAACATATGCATATTACTCGTGAAAACCCTGTTCTCTTACTTGTTGATAACCACGAGACTCATATTTAACTTGATGCAATCAAATATTGCAGAGAGCATGAAATAGTAATGCTTTCCTTTCCACTTCACTGCACACATAGGATGCAACAGCTGGACATCGAAGTTTACAGCCCTTTCAAAGCTAGGTTCAAGTCAAACTTAATGATTTCATTTTATCGAACCCTGGCAAAGCAATATCGATTTACGACATTGCAAGTTTGACAGGTCAACCATAAAGGCTATTATTTACTCCCATTAATATAATAAAGGCTTTCGAAAAAGCTGGAATCTGGCCAGTAAACAGCCTTAATTCTGACGATTCTTATTTTGCTGGAGTCTACTTATGGACCTAACACCAATAATATCTTCTGAGGATTTTGAAATAATGCTACGAACTACTCAGCTCCATACTCCCGAAATGTCTCTAAAGGGAGCTGATATTCTGGAATTAATTACAGACTTAATGGAAGAATTGCTGAGAAATATTTTCAGCCGAGCTTCTTACCTGAGAGTAACACAATATCTGAAACGTACAAAATTAGTAGATATTCGACCATTTCCAACATTGCAACCAAAGTAGAACAGGCGTGGTAAAAAAAGGGGAAAGGCATGCATATATACTAGTACACCAGAAAAGAATAGAGTAGAAGCTGAAGAGAAGGAAAGGAATAACAAACAAGTCAAAGTTATAAAAAGAAAAATTAACGGTAGCAAAAAATTAAAACCTTCAAAAAAATAGGCCAAAGAAAAAATCATCTTACTCTAGTTCCTCAGAATCTGACATAGGTGCTACAATGTCTGATTGTAATTCAGATTCTGACATAGATCTGCACAGTGATTAAGAGGGAATAAAAGGCCTTTTAGATGATAAGGAGGTTCTTGCGTGTGACTTCGTGTTGGTAATTGCAATAAAGAAAACGGTTGTTCACTTTGTGCAACTAACAAATTAACCAGTGGCTTTTATTATCCTATTCAAAATGATATTAGCACTATATCTAGAGCCGATATTGTGACAAAACTTATCATACCTTTAAAAACTATGGGAACATATCGGCAAGCGTCTTACGTTAAGTTCAATACCTCATTTTCTCCTTATAATATTAAATAATATCTTCTTTGTAAAACATGTTCATATTATAAACAATAAATATCGTTCATATATATACTTTATGTATTAAATATTTTTTTGTTTATAAGGCTTTAACAAATTCTTATTTATTGTCCAAATGTGCCCCATAGCTGTAGAAATCTATCCCATGATTGGGTACAATTGTACAAATACACTGTTGAAGAAAATTTGGTTTTTGTCTATGTTTCCGTGGATCTATTATTCGCAGTTTCATCAATAAACATTCAAAGACAACAGATACAACTATTGATTTGTCCATTATCAGTTATAGAATATTAAAATAGCTTGAAAATATTCCCTACTGAAAAATAATATCCAAATCTACCCCACCCTCACCTACATTATACAGGGTATTGTATTTTAAAAAACCAAGGTAACTAATGGAAGTCAGAATAGATGACCAGCTTACAGATCCAATAGATATGGGCAATGGAATAAGACAAGGAGAATCGCTTAGTCCAACACTATTTAATCTAATCATGGATGAAATCATCAATATTATTAATAAAGGAAGAGGATACAAAATGGGGAACAAAGAAATCAGAATACTCTGCTATGCCGATGATGCGGCCCTAATTGCATCCAATGAAGACGATCTACAAAGACTAACCCATAGATTCAACACAAGGGAAAAGGACTTTAATATGGTGATCTCTACACAGAAAACCAAAACAGTTGTAATCAGTAAAGAACCAATTAGATGTAAACTGGAAATCGACGGTATCAGCATTGAGCAAGTAATGGAGACAAATTACCTAGGAATTACACTGTCTAGCTACGGAAATGTGGAGAAGGAAGTGAAAAATCAAGTACAAAAGGCTAATAAAATAGCAGGTTGTCTTAATAACACGATATGGCGCAATCTCCACATTAATACCGACGTGAAATCAAGAATCTACAAAGCAACAATAAGACCAATAATGACATACACTTCAGAGACAAGACCGGATACCTCCAAAACTCAGCAACTACTAGAAACAGCGGAGATGCGTTTACTGAGGAGAATTACAGGAAACACACTGAGGAATCGAATGAGGAGTGAAGAGATCAGAAGAAAATGCAATATACCAAAAATAAATGAGTGGACACTGAACAGAAAAAAGGAATGGAACGAACACATAAACAGAATGGAAGAGACCCGATTAGTCAGAATAGCGAGGGACAAATCACCAAAAGGTAGAAGAAGTATCGGGCGACCACGCAAAAGATGGAGTGATAACCTCCAATAGAGGCATTAATCGACATTGAACAAGCATTTTGCTTATAAAAAAGAAGAAAAAGAAGGTAACTAATGATATCGGAAAAATGGTAAATCTGGCAACGTTTCAAATATCAAATTTATATAATTAGGCGTTTCTCAACTTTTAGTCTATTCTGGTTATAAAAGAAAAATGTTTCACTTACTTAGTTACACAAAAATACAAACACTTGTACACCCAAACTGCAAACACGTTTTTCTACTTTGAATTATGTATATATATACTTGTTAAAAAGCAATAAATAGCCTATAAAATATTATTAATATTGTTAGATCAAGTGGAAGGGGAGCGGATGATGAGTAAAATAACCGTAAGTAGAAAAACAAAAATAGGATTGTCAATAATGTACCTACAAAAAAAATTCTACATAACATTCAACAAAACACACTATGAACTTAAGTTGTAAGTAGGTATATTTTTTAATATATTACATAGGGAAATCCAAAACTTACTAGGTATAATTCTATTTTGTACATTTCAGATTTCTCATTGTTTTTCACAATAGAATATTGCTCAAAATTTTCTATTAAAAATTTATGTTTCGACAAGTAAAAAATTATTTCGACATTAACTGATGTGAGAGAAGCATATTTTAGGTTGTCTAAGAAACATTGGTCAACATTGGTTTCTTCCAAAAAATTTTATCGGAAAATATTTTCCACTTGAAGAACCGTAGCAAATCCTACATTTTTGCTAATGGTATTATTTAATTTTCATAAAATGTGTATTCCAATTGTTTCATTTAACGTTTTCACAAGAAGAAATAAATTTTTCCACTAAAGCAACACTTTTTGAAAGCAGATTCCAGCCTCTAACCAGGATCCTCAT